GCTCCCGCTCTGCCCCTCGCAGACGAAGCAGGTCTCCACTACACCACAGGTGACAGCGGCTCACTTTCCACCCAACAGTCACTTCTGCCAGCTCACAGCACAAGGCTTGTACACAAAAGCAAACTTTGACCTCTGATACTCAGTCAGATATTTGTCATGCTGTGGGGTTTAGACATTTCTCTCCCAGTAATATTGTGGCAAAACCTGTTTCAGGTTGAACATTTTTTATTTTGTATCAAATTATCCCTCCTTGCAGGTCTGGGGAGAGAGACAGGTATGGCAGGCTCAGACAGTACAGGCGCTCAAATTCCCGTGATCGGGAGAGGAGAAGGCGCAGTAGAGATGAGGACAAGTTCAAGGGCAGCCTTTCAGAGGGTATGAAAGTTGACCAGGAATCTTCAGAAGAAGAAGTGTGAGTACAAGAAGACATTTGCAGTTCTTACATTGGAAAGTAACTGTGTTAATGATGGATTAAGCTTGTTCATGGCAACTGCTCTTGATGTCAAATTGTATTGATAGATTAATGGATCAGTACATGGTACATGGATGCACCAAATCCATGATTGTGTTTGCAGGGTGGAGGACTTTGATAGTGAGGAGATAGATGAAGAAGCTCTCATTGAACAGCGCCGCCAGCAACGTATGGCCATTGTCCAGGTCTGTTTACACATTATCTGAATCTTCTGTCTCTGATAGTCCAATATTGCTGGACACAACTACAAGTTAATGATCTTTGTACTGGTCTGTCTACTTAAAACCAAGTAACCTGACTAATGCACACAAATTAAATATGCTTGACATATATTCTTATGGGCGCACTATTCCTTCTGTCATATAGAAATATAAGGTTGTGAATGAGGATACCAACATGATATCGGAGCCCAACAGCCCTCAGAGCAGCACACGCAGCCGCTCCCCCTCACCTGACGACATCTTGGAGCGAGTAGCCGCAGACGTGAAGGAATATGAACGCGAGAACCTCAACACCTTCGAGGCCAACATCAAAGCCAAGCACAACCTCATCGCCCAGGAGAGAGATGGTAATGTCCTGGTCGGAATGATCATGTCTGTTGGCATACAAGGCCAACTGAATGAACTGCACCACCATGTGCACTGTGTAGTTAACGGCAAGCGTCCATGTGCAACCGGTTTCTCTAACAATATTTGTGGAGGCTTGTGGCGACTTGTGACAAGACGCAAAAATTAAGAATCTCAGTGGAAGTTGGCACACAGGTCACTTGCTGTAGTAAACACTTTTAGAGACGTGATCCTATCTAGATCAGATTCTCCGCTGGGGATCATTTTAGATGGCATCTTGGATGGTTCCTTTAAAATTCATAGGAACACATGGCAAATTTTCAGTGGTCTTAGAATGCATGCTCCTGAGTTCCATCATAATGAGTTCAGGAGAAGTCTAATTAATATGGATGGAAGCTGATCGGTAGCATTTTTGAGCTGCCTTTAAATTCATTGAACCATAAATAGGCAGTAATGTTGGTACTTCCCTGCGATTTAGAACAGTGTTACATGATGTAGACTGGTCAAAAGATACCAGTCTTTAGAAAACACAAAACTATATGAAGAGGCATGATTTGTATGAAAAATGCAGTTGTGTGATGCAGGGGTTTTAATTTTGTTTCTTTTTGTCATGTGTTCATTCAGTTGCTGGCTTGTAATCCAAAGCCTCGGCGTTTCTGCCACCTGCAGCATGTTTTGAACTCTGCAGAGTATGTGAATCAAACACGTTCCAGATATTCTGTTTTACAATGCAGCGGACAACTAGAAACACATCTTGTTGGTTTATTATTGTTCTTTATTTTAGGAACCAACCCAAAGAAGCCTTCAGCGCCTGACATGTTCACAGAATCGGATGACATGTTTGCTGCTGACTTTGTAAGTATTCTAGTATTAAACTTTGAGTGTCTGAACATCGATCCTATGTGCCTCTTCTAGTGTAAAATTTACTGGCTTGTTCTGAAGTTTCTGAACAGTATAAAATATTAAAACAGCCCCTGACCTCTTCTGCAGAGTGCCAGGATGAGAGCAGCAGGTGTAGGAAAAGACTTTAAGGAGAACCCCAACCTCAGGGACAACTGGACTGATGCTGAGGGTTACTACCGTAAGTGCTGCCTTTCTAATTCTATCTTGGATTCTGATTGTATCAGGGAAAGGCCCATGAGTTTTTTAATGCTATGGCAACATATCATTACAACAAGAGACAGACAGATCAATCAGAGGAGATCGGAAATGGACGGTTTTCAGTGTGATCAGCCTTGACAGCAACTGGCCGATCAGTCTGAGATAATCGATTCTGTGCTGGTCAGATTTAGAGGCACAACAGTCCATATCACATGTGAGGGTGCCACAGACCAAAACCATAGAATGTGCACCGAGTCGCACCTTGAGCGAGACTCTCATTTGAGTCTGTACTGGGCACGTGTTCACTCGTGCACTGGAAGCACTTGGTGTACACAGAGGAGCCTACAGAAAGACCTCGGACAAGGGGAAACTATGTCTCCAACAAGTAGTACACAATGAGTACATGAAATGTATGTATAGGTACAATGTATCCCAGCCAGTGGAACTGATGTGACATTCTTGTGTTTATTACCTATTATTCTATTTTTTTTTTTTTTTTGTTATTAAGGGGTAAACATTGGAGAGACACTGGACAAGCGTTATGATGTGTATGGCTACACTGGCCAGGGTGTGTTCAGCAATGTGATTAGAGCCAGGGACACTGCCAGGGCTGGCCAGGAGGTGGCAGTCAAGATCATCCGAAACAACGAGCTCATGTAAGTCAGACCTTTCTCATAAACTAAAGACATTTTTATATGAATGTCAACATTTCATATACAAATAAGTATAGATACCTAGAAATCTAATACTTTGAACAACTACAGTCATATGGGTGTTTAATTGGGCTTGTACTGATGGAGTATAATTGAATTTTGGTGAACAGGCAGAAAACTGGTTTGAAGGAGCTGGAATTTCTCAAGAAGCTAAACGACGCTGATCCTGATGATAAGTTCCACTGCCTTCGTCTTTTCAGGCACTTTTACCACAAGCAGCATCTTTGTCTGGTATTTGAGCCCCTCAGGTACTGATGAAGGAAACACTACTCCTTTCCTCTCATAGAGATGTTTGTAGGATTTATGCAATGGCTTCACCTGCTGTATTTTCATCTATAGTATGAATTTGCGAGAGGTGCTGAAGAAATACGGTAAAGATGTCGGGCTCCACATCAAGGCTGTGCGTTCCTACAGCCAGCAACTGTTCTTGGCCCTCAAGCTGCTCAAACGATGCAACATCCTCCATGCTGATATCAAGCCAGATAATATCTTGGTAAAATATAAATGCTTGCTCAAAAAGATAAACAGGTAACAGAAAGATGAAAATGTTCGTCTAGTCTGTAATAATGACTTTTTTGTCCTTGTAAGGTGAATGAGTCAAAGACTATTTTGAAGCTGTGTGACTTTGGTTCGGCATCTCACGTTGCTGACAATGACATCACACCATACCTGGTCAGCAGATTTTACAGAGCTCCAGAAATCAGTAAGTTATATTGTTTGTATAATCACCAGTTTAACTATTAATCAGCTGCAATAATTACTGAACTGTGCTCACAGCATCTTTCTGTCTCAGTCATAGGAAAGCCGTATGACTATGGAATTGACATGTGGTCTGTCGGCTGCACTTTATACGAGCTGTACACTGGAAAAATCCTGTTTCCTGGATCTTCCAACAATCACATGCTCAAACTAGCTATGGACCTCAAGGGCAAGATGCCCAACAAGGTAAAATTGCATCATAAAATGTCAGTTCCTTGAGTTATTTTTTCTGTTTTCTAGATAAAGTGAGACATGTTGCTGTTCCATGCCGTGATGAAGAAGTGGCTGACGTAATTATGTTCTTTTTTCATCTCAGATGATCCGCAAAGGCTTGTTCAAAGACCAGCACTTTGATCAGAATCTAAACTTCTTATATATTGAAGTAGACAAAGTGACAGAGAGGGTAAGGTGGTCCATCTCACTTCTACAGTACATTTTAACATGAGGGAAATTAACATGTCCTATGACCTTTAATGGCATGTATAAAAAAATGTTACTAGCTGAATCAGTATTTAATGCAAACGGAAAATTTGCACTAGCTGTGTCAATATGTATTCAACTTACCTTTTCTTTCATTTCTCTGTGTCCCATCAGGAAAAGGTGACAGTGATGAGCACCATCAACCCCACCAAAGACCTGCTGGCGGACATGATAGGAGGCCAACGACTGCCTGAGGACCAGAGGAAGAAGGTGATGCAGCTGAAGGACCTGCTGGATGGCACCCTGATGCTAGACCCAGCCAAACGCATCAGCATCAACCAGGCTCTGCAGCACCCCTTTATCCAGGAAAAGATCTGACACCCTTAATGCCACACACTCACAGAGCAGAGAACCAATCACTAAAACCAGCTCAGACTGGTACTCTGCAGCGAGGCAGCCAACACATGATGTTGTGGATTTTTGTTCTTCCTCTTGGGTGATTCTCATCCTTTCACTTCCTCAACATTCATTTGTTAGGGATACTGTTTTAGTGTAAATAGATCATTGAAACGGTGGCCATTCTTTATTTTACCATTTCAGATTTATCATAAATTTTCTTTCATGCAGTTAGGGACTTTTATTGCATTGCAGTGACACGTTTAAATGAGATAGAATTCCTGTAAATATTGTCTCTATTGCATTAACAATCTCAAACAGCAGGCAGGTGAGTTTTGTTGTAGTTGCAGATGTCCAAAAGAATTTTTTAAACCACACTGTGGGGCGATGCATGCTTTTGAATCTGCACCATCTGTGCTCTAGATTTCTGTGGTGCAGGCCTGTGTAAATGCTCCATATGTGCATCAGTGTCCCACATGTGAGCAACACCTCAACCCCATCCGTAACTACGTTTTCGGGCCCTTGATGTCTGAGCTGAAGGAATAGATAACTATGTACTCTTTAAGATTTTTATCTTCAAAGGAAGCAGTCACTGTTTTGTTGGACATAGTCGCTGGACATTTCCCTGTTTTACTTTCCTCTTCCCTCCAGCACTCTGGTACTGGCTCTTAAGGCTCTCACATTTAAGTGCCTCCTGTATGAGCCTAATGTGATGAAACACCAAACAATGCTGGCCTATTGAAGCCGCATGTGACCCCGCTCTCCAGTTGTTGTATATATTCCATAGTTACTGTCATTTATGTTTCTTTTTCATTAAGTGGTAAAAATAATCTTGTGATTTCAATAAAGAATAGTTGTGGAAACACTACTGAAAGAGCACCTGTCGTATGAGACAACTTTTTAGTAATAAAATGTTTCCTATTGTATACGAGAACCTCTTTCTTCCTTATATATTGGTATTGTGGAAGTGATATTGTATATCATTAGCTCATTCTTTTAAATAGTTTAAATGTTTCGCTTGGCGGAGAAACAGTCATGGGCCATGTACAGATTTCACAAGATATTTAGCGTCCAGAAACAGATTTGAACTTACCTTACATAAAATCCTTGTACCTCGTCAAGTATTGCAGGCAAAGGTCATACATCTTTGGAGAAAAATTTTCAACTGAGACAGCTGCAGCCGTAGAGCATCAAAAGTAAAAACATCTTGTATGCAGCTGTAACAGTTTACAAGCACTCTCCACTTCACAGTGGAAAATCTAACAGCAGCCTTCATTTCCTGCTCATAATTGCACCTGTGTTGAGCTTCTAAAAAGCATAATGGGAGACTCGCTTACGAAAGATTCCCATTTTACTCCATGTGGAAAGTTAGGGAATGATGCAAGATCTCTGTGCTTGCTCAGAGTGCATTAAAAGGACTTAAGAGCTGATGGGCTGTCAGCCTTAAGGGGTCTGGTAAATACATGGAATAGTGGAATAACCACTGTGATGTCAGATGTCAGGGTGAATGAGGTGGCATTCTAACACTTTCATGCTTTCATCTACAGAGGGAGAAGACTGCTTTTAATCTGAATATGTAACCAAATGAGTCTTTTGCAGCCTTGCTATCAAAGTCATGAGGAGGAAATTCATTTCTAACCACATAAATGTAATTTCTTGTGATGATCACAAGAGGGCCTCAGAAGCACTAACTAGTGAAGGAAGTTACTTATGGTGGCTGATTTTAAAACTTTTTTTAAGAGTACACTCCCACAGAAATACCTAAAGTAATACTAAAATACATATTTTTACTGTCTATGCATGTATTGTGTTATCCCAGTCATCACTCTCCAGGCTCCAACTTGTTCAGAACGCGGCTGCCTGTCTGCTGACAAACACTCGTCGGCATGCCCATATCACTCCGGTTCTGCTATCTCTTCACTGGCTGCCTGTTAAATGGAGAGTAGATTTTAAGGCTTTGCTTTATGTTTTTAAAGCCTTGCACGGCCTTGCCCCTCCGTACCTGTCTGACCTCTTGGCTAGATATGTCCCTCGCAGAACCCTGCGATCATCGGGTCACCTTGCTCTTGTCGTTCCCCCTGCACACTACAAAAAATGGGGAGGTCGTGCCTTTGCCGTGCATGGCCCTAGGCTGTGGAATTCCCTGCCTTTAGATATACGCTCGATAACTGAGCCGGCAGCGTTTAAGTCAGCGTTAAAAACGCATCTTTTCAAACAAGCTTTTAATGTTTAGCGTGTTCACTGATTTTCGTCACCTTTCATAATTTATTTCTTAACTAGTTTTAATATATTAGTGTGTGTATTGCTCCTCTGGGCCACCACGGTTAAGCCCCCGGTGGGAGAGCCGGCTGGGTGGGAGTTGGCCTAATAAAGCTGCATAACATGGTTGCTATGGATACCTAGTGAACAGTTTGCCATAATTTAAGGTGTGAATAGGCACAATAATAGTAGTTATAATCTTTCTAACATCTGTTTTGGGTTGTTAACTCAAATACAATTAAAACCAGTAAGCTTTAAAGTGGTGCATATAAAGAAGAAAAATATAATATTTCAATTTTTATTAAAACCATACAAACATTTGTAGTCAGATATAAAAGAGCAAAGCGGCTCTTCTGGCAGAGGGACAGTGCTGGGCATTTGAAGTTCCCCTCTGAGCCAGATCTGGCCTCTACCCAGGGCCTGGAAATTCCTGCTATCAAAGTCAGTTCTTTATTGGCCCCAGGATACTACCCATTTCCTCTGCTAAACCTAGAGAAAGAGTATTGTATTTACACATAAATGCACAGTAAATGGAAAACAGAAAATCAACAAAATCAAAGAAAAGAATGCATTTTGCACATCAACTTTTAGGATAGTTTACATATTAAATTTTGATGTTTTTCATAATTCACACTGGAGGTTTGGCAGTGGTCTATCGACAGGCAGATATGTATAAGGCACATACCTCAATGTACTGTATTTTCCGTCTATCAAAGGAAATGATTTCTGCTTCTTTGAAAAGAAAAACAATCAACGCACAGCTAGAAAAATGATAATGGTACCAAAGAACAATAAAACAATTTGTACCTCATTGCTCTGATGCGGAATAGAAGGTAAACTACACAATATTCTGTGCGCAGTCACATAAGACTACATAGCATTACTAACACTGTTGACAAAGTCACTGCAATACTTGATGGCAGTACACATTCAGAATTTAAGAGCTTTGAAGAGAACAATATGGATGACTTTATATAAAACAAAACGTTACTTTACAGCACTTACCATCATGAGAAGAAAGCTCATGTGGGGTGGACCGATGTTGGTCTTTAAGACAGATTAAAACCTTAAAGGACTTAGACTATCAAACATTTAGACACACTTTACCATTGAATTCTATGGGAACGCGTGTCCAAATGTTCACGTAAGCATACATACTGTAAAGCACCAAATAGGAACCATCACAGAGAAAATGTCTATTTTTAAATCAGCTCCAAACTGTGCAACCCAACATCAAATATCAGATTATCACAAACAGAATATAAAAACACATATACATTTGTGAGTACCTTATCAGACTATATCAATCCATTTAAATATCAAGTAGACGACTATCTATGGTGCCATGAAGAATGTCTTGTCCATTTTTTGGACTCGATACCATTTAACAAAAACATCATTTGATAAAGTTGGCAGAAGCACGGAAACATTTACAGATTCACAAAGTAACATACAAACAAAATGACAACAAACGTAAATGTATCACTTATTCAAAACTATGATATATAAAGCCATCATCAAGGCGTGTTAGATTAGTGACTCACCTGCTAGAACAAGAATGGGTTTGGCATCTTTGTGCCTGTGGAATCAGAATGGTAGGTACTTGGCACATGGGCTAGTCTATGTACTTATATAGACAGTGTGTGTAATGTTTTAATTTGCATGCAGTTTTACCAACTGTGTGTACAGCAAAAACAGTGACACTACACAGAATACTGTTTCAACCAAGTGACATTTTGCACAGTATCACATTGCAATTAAAAAGTGAAGAGCTTCCAAAATAGCCTTCACTCCAGGAAAGGAATATAACTATTTATCTACACTTAATTTTAATACATCAAACTTCTGTGTGGGATGACATCTCTGCCAAATAAATGGGTTTTCCAACTGACTGTTCCAGAACATTCATACATAATAAAGTTCTCATAATTGCCGCTTTTATCTTAATCTTCACATACACCAGAGTTTTTCTCTTCCTTTTTTCTGATGGAGGAGAAAGCAGAGAGAAAGAGCAGCTACTGCATGATAGCCAAGAACTTGCTCTCCTCAGCAAGGGTGGTGAGGAGAGAGCTCATGTCTCCAATAGCCATGTTGTTAAGACCAGGGGCCACACTGTGGAAGCTTGCAGATGCTCGAGGAGTGGTCAAGCGTGATGAGGTCCTGGACAGACCCTGGAAGATTGTGGGGCTCAACACCCCTGAGACCAGGCTACCTTGGTCATAGCAATCCTCGAGCATAGCACCAAAGTCCATACTTACCCTTTGATCAAATACACCGGTCACATTGCATTCCACTGTGCTAGTTACCTGGTCTGTACCAGGAGACAGAAGAGCATCCAAATTCTCATTATCACCACCTTGTCCAACAGACTCAGCCATTGAGTCCAGCAAACCCTGGTCCTCCACAACAGGGAACGTGGTGGCTTTATGATCTGCTGGTTCATAAGAGAGGCAGTCACCAAAGTCCTGCTCTAAATATTCATGGTCTGGGGCCTCCAGTTTCAGGCCCGATACCTGATGTGCAAGGGAACATTGGTCCCCGTTCTTCTGCAGCTGTTGCTGCTGGTTAAGATTAGGCTCACTGGCATGCTTGGGACTGAGGTACTGCTGGGTCCTGACCAAGTTCCTGTAACTGTTAATTGGTGGGCAAGGGGGATAGACCTGTTGATTTTGATGAAGTGCGGTTCCCTGGGAGTGGGTGGGGAGGTTGTCCATGGAGGCCATGCTAAGCATTAGGTTGTTCCCAACCTGGCAAGTGATGCTACTGTTGTGGTTCTGTTGGAAAAGGCTCTGTTTTTGAGGTCCATTGGAGTCCTGCTGTCTGAAGCCCTGCAGAAGAGGCCCACTGATGATCTGTGAGAGATTAGAATTGCCAAAGGTGTTTGCAGAGTTATGGTAAGTGCCTCTCATCTCCATGCAGGATTTAGGTGATGTCTCTAGTTTCACAGCAGGGTGGACACAGGTAGCACTTTGAGGCTGATTAGCTTGAGTACTGCTGGTAGGGAAATCAAGTGGCCCCCCCCCATGTTCCCAACCCTGCCAAAAGGAACAGACATACGACCATGTTCTGTGCCTGACCACCTCTCACACTGTGTCTGGTGGTTTTGTACCCTCTGAGGAGATGTGTCAGCACTCCCAGAGCTCACTTCATTCCACTGGATGGGAAGCTTACTAGGGCTCTTCCTCTCTCCTATCTGCTGCAGCTGGAGACTGTGGGACCCAGGGAAGGCCATATTCAGCCCAGATGTCTGGGCCTGTTCCATCTCCTCCATTGATGGTTGGGAGGGGTCTTTTTGGCTAAAAGGTATTTGGTCCTCGTTGAGCAGGCAGGGACCACCATCCACTTGAACCTGGGAGTGGAGATACTGAACCAAGTCATCTGGTAGCATGTTCTCATCTCCAAGCAGCAGGCCAGCATCCCCATCTTCCTCTATGGCTGCATGTTCTGTGATGCTAGGATTGTACTGCAAGTGCTGCAGGTGTCCCTGCAGGTTTCCTTCTGAGTGTGTGTAGTTCTGTATGCTAAAGCTGCGAATGTCAGGTGACAAATGATGAGACAGAGGTGGAAGAGGGTGAAGGTTGTTAAGGCTGCTGAAGCGTTGGACCTGGGGCAAACTGCAAGTGTCAGGAGCATGCATCCGCACTGGGTCACTGGCCCTACGACTCCCATTTTGTGGTCCCTCACCAGGGTAGAGGACCCTTCGTCTGCAAACTGCATGTCCCATATGCCCATTGGTGTACCTGCTGGTGCCATCATTGCAATGATGTGCCCTGACTAAAGGTGGTAAACAATGGTCACTATTACCCTCATCCATCATGGCTATACGAGTCTTCAAAATCATGCGCTCCATGTTGGGTAGAGGCGTTGGAGGTGGTCCTCCAGTTGCTGCTGCATACTTGGCTTTAAGGTGGTAGTGCTGTGCTGGGGTTAAATTGAGCATCCCTCGTGACCCCCCTCCTGCTCCAATGCCTACTCCAACACCTCCATAGCCTCCACCTGAGAGTATCCCTCCACCCCCTCCTCCTGTCCCACCTCCATAATGGCTAGCCTCACTTGAACGCCGGGAAGCATCAGTGGAGATGGGGTCATATGAGTCGGTGGAGCTAAGGTTGTGGAGGTGGCGATGATGGGCAGCCGCCAATGTACCCTCATTCTGAGAAGCCTGGCTGGAGCGTCGGCTGGGGGAGCAGGGGGGGGAGGCGGAGCAAATTGAGCACTGTTAGGTCTGTGTTGCCCAACTCAGCATGAGCCGGTGGCTGAGGAGCAGGCGGCCCAAAATGCCTGCCCAGAAAGGATCCTGGGGAGAAACAGACAACACAAAGAGAGAGAGAAAAAGGAAATTATGTGGCGAAAGGGAGATTAAAAACAAATGTTAGGTGAAAGTGTGGAGAGATCCGTGAAACAGATGTTACCAGAGACAACTGGCAGCATTTGGCCATGAAACATTGTTACATGCTATTCTCTCTGATATGATACACACCTTGATGTGGTATTAATGCCATTTTCCAGCAGAACAGAACATTTTAAGCCTTTCTTTTTCCTGAATGTTTCAGCCAAAATGGGCAAGATGGAATTCAGGATCATTCATTTCCCAAAGTGTGACTTGTACACACATTTGGGGTGACGTGTAAATTCTGTGAGCAGGTGCTGTTTAGCTCAGCCCATGAGTTCTCTGTGTCCCCATGCTGAATTTGTGAGGGTTATGGACTTTAGTAAAAGATTTTAAGAGTACTGGGGAAAAGACTGTCATACCCGGTGATTTTCAAACAAAATGAAACTTAAACGTTTAAAAAGATGACCTTACCCTTCCCCAGGATGTTGGGTAGTGTGGAACCTTTCGGGGGTGGTGTAGGGGACAGGGGCCCCAGCCTGGGCAGTGCTTCATTCACCTGCTTCAGCCTCTCCATCTTGACATGCTCCATCCAGCGCAGGGGGCGGCCAACACTACGCCTCGCCTGCAGGGTCAGCATGGTCGCACTTGCTGTGGAGACTGTGGAGTCCATGATGGGTGCTGGGTCACCCTCACACTCCTCCTCCACCTCCCCTTCATTTTCCTCTTTCTCCTCATCCTCCTCCAGCCCCTCCCCCGGCGAGCGTCCAGCACTCACAGCAAGCTGGACTCCACTGCTGATGGGGGACTGGTCACTGCTGCATGTAGACTGACCGCCAGGGCTTGGCTGAGACGTCTGACAGACAGACAGACCAAGAAAGAAACACAAGACGGGCAGAAGATTTGGGGAAGAGAGGAGAGGAAGAAATAAAAGCAGACAATTATGACGCTTATTGCAGGTAACACAAGGGATGGTGTGCATACGTGTCACATCACAATGACAATGTAATGCTTTGAAGGATGTATTCCCTCATTAGACTGATAATTCTTCATAGGAAAGACTATTATGAAAGATAATCTTATTTATGTGTTCATTTTATCATCTTGTGTGATCATTGTAGTTTGTGCTGGTTGCTCAAACCACAAAACCAGCTGCAACCTTTATTCTTCTATAAAAAAAAGAAGTGTTAGACGGTTTTCTACATTACTGGGGCCCAGATAATTCCTCCCTTTTGATCCTGTGTGGATGTAAAAACACTTCAAAGGAGAAAATCATGATTGTATTCAGAGGATGGGATAAAAGGTAGTGCCTAATTAGGTTGTTTACTGAATTTAGGAACCATGTTGCACCGAGGAATAATAAAATCGCTCTTTTGGCATCAAGTGTCAACACTGTTTAGAGCCTGTTTACTATTGAATGAATCTGGCTGCACAGTGGAGGCCTGTGCACTCTCAGAAATACTTTCCATGCCTTTGCGGTTCTGCCCCAAGTCAAAAGCATTGCTCACAGAAATGCATCTCTTTTAGTAATAAGTAAAGTTCTCAACAGATGGATGATCTTTGGACGACTGTGGGGGATGAGAGACTCCTACAATGAAAACAAATCTGGCATGTTTTTGGTGGAAGTGTCAAGCAGCTGTGACAGGATGCAAAATGTCCAACAGACAAAACAATGACCAAGAAAACGAATGAGTAGGAAAATAGACTTTAGAAATGCAAAGTGAAGCGACACCCATCTCACCTGATTACCCACTGTCCTTAGAAAGATAAGGAGACAATTGCCGAAGCATTGGACAGAAGAAAACATTTACTCATTAAAAAGTTTTAATGTTATACTATATGGGCAAGCCCCAATTTTGTGTTAAATCACACACAAACCAAAAATCTCTGTATTCAAATTATTATGGGAAAATAAAGGTTTGGGTATAAAGTACTCAAAAAGACTCAACAGAACCTAAATACTGTTGAAGGTGTAAATGGATGTAAAACCCAAAATTAAGTCTTACCATGGGCTTCTCTGTCTTGATGGACTTGACCTGCAGACATTCATCTTGCTTTGAGGTAGCATGATTGTACTCCCTTTGGTCTGTGTACCCACCCAGGGGCAGTTGCCCTGGCGAGCGGCCCTGGCTGTTGCCCCCAGGTTCCCGGGACTGGGGCGGAGGACGTGGGTAATCTCCACGCTGTTTTTTTGTGACATGCGCCTCTGGCCCATGCACTGTCTTCACATGCTTGCGTAAAGAGCTGGGGTCTGTGTAACGCTTGGTGCAGCCTGGGATTTTACACACATACGGTTTCTAAAAAAAAAAGAAACAGTGTGAAGTATGTTGCTTGCAAACCCCATATTCAAGCAGCAAAGACAAGGATTATAACTTATTTTTGTTAGTGCAGTACCTCATTTGAGTGTGTGCGATTCTGATGTTTAGCCCGATCTGAGGCATTCGAAAAGGCCTTGTTGCAGCCTTCATGCTCACACACATAAGGTTTCTCTCCGGTGTGGGAACGTAAATGAGTCTTAAGGTTTTCTAGACGAGAGTAGGCCTTGGTACAGCCTTCAAACTGCGGGAAGAGAGAGAAGAGGAAGTGGACATCAGTCAAACTGTGTAAATCTTGCATTAGCAGTTTAAATGAAAGCAGGAGTATCCTTACTGTGCACTTGTGTGGTTTTTCCCCAGTATGCCTCCGCATGTGGACCACCAGCATGTATTGTGCCTTGAAGGGCTTCTGCTCTCGAGAGCATTCCTCCCACCGACACACGAACTCCTTCTTCTCCCCATGGATGTGGTCATTGTTGATGTGCTAGGAAAAAACAAAGCATTTTCTTCTTATTATTATATGTTCCTCTTGTATCTGTACATGAGAGTGACGTTAAGACTAAGAGCAGTGCTTTTTGCTTTGATCTAATTGATCAAATTGATGGAATCTTTGCTCAGCAGCATGAGAGCCAGAATTACCATTCCCTTTTCTCATTTCATTTCTTGCATCTCATTTTTCTTAACTCCTTCACGCCTTCCTTTTTGCCCTCACTCCAGTTAAATGTTCAAAGGATGGCAAAAAAGGCAGACTTGTGAGTCTCGATGTCCAATCTGAACAGGATTTTCAAATAAAACCCTGTCACTTCACATCACATTGGGCCCTCGCCCCTCCATGACAAGTGCTGACAGTTCTGCTGCCGTGGCAACTTCCAATCTGAGGCTCAGAAAAAAGGGAAGGTGGGAGGGATGTGAGGAGACAGGGTGAGAAATCAAAAGTTCAGTCAAGGCATCTAAAATGCAAGGGCTTTACAACTCCAGCCAACCATTATATCTGTGAACACCACCTTTCTCTTGCTCCCTCCCCTTCTCTCCTCGTTTTCTCCATCTTTTTTTATCTTTTCTCACTGTCTCGTGAAATGGAGTAAGCGATGGGTGTTACAGAGGGATGAAGGAGGTCCGGAGAAGGAAAATACATGCAGACGTGGACCCTTGGGGATGAAGTCAACATCTGGCTCTCTTTCATATCCAGCCCTGGGTGATGGTCTCTGAAGTGCCTTTTCAAGAGCAATTTAAACCCAGGGAGACAGACACCATATTCTGACCAAAAGCAGAAGTGTGTTTTTACCTCAGGGGTGAATGATAAATAGAGATGCAACTTTGAATGCTCTTAAATGTTTGAGGCCTTCGTTAGAGACTTGCTTGCAAGACTGTTGAGCGATAAAATATGCAGGACCAAAGTAAATACAGTATCCAGGTTCAGTTCCCCTCCAGGTATGACACTGCTCTGATAATTGAATTTTGTACCTGCTTAGTGCCCAGGTCATGACCCCATAATTAAGGAGAGGGAAACTACCCCTACTTTTAGCCTTTCTTCAAGTCACTTCCGCGAGTCTCTGCTACTAGCTATAAAACCGTTGCACTCACTTCCTGGTAATACCAAAGGAGCAGTATCGACAAATGAGTCAGCACAGTAACAGCAGGGTGTGACAGCAAAAGCAAAGAGTAAAACTGACACTAATATATCCACAAAGGACCTCCATTATTCTCATCTGACATTTTTTAATTTTAAAGTGACAAAACAAGACTAATTCCAGGGAAAATGACTGGGGACTGGATGGCCACAGACATTAGTGAAGTTTCCCCGGGATTGATCTCCTCCCCACCTCGGTCAGAGCCTCAGAAAACCTGACTCGTCTTCTCTTTTTCTTCCTCTCTGTGAGGGAATCACTGTGACAAGAGATCGTTCTGTTGTGAGCAGCGTTCAATATCCCCTGGCTGAGAGCAATGGGAGAGCGCCGTGGTGTTGGATCACGCGGGCGGCTGGCACAACAAAAGCGCATGCACGCACTCACACACAAATGGATACACACTCACGCCCTGTTCCTACAAATGAACAAGGTCGCTGACGGGTGTGATGCATGAGCCTCTGAGCTGACAGAGAGGGGGACAGACAGCATGGGGAGAGGGGGCGCTGAGAAACCTAATAGCATGATCTAATGGCAATTCTTATTGAATCAATAATCTCCATGCTGAGCAGACAGGCCCCGTTGGCCAGCTAAATCGACAAACAGGTGCTGATAGCGCCAGCACGGCAGGTTATTCATCTTCCCCCTGCCAGCTTATCGGCCAACAACTGTAAAAACGCCACCAAGATGGATTTAGGAGGGAGTCGCGCGACAGGGAGCGCCAGGGACGTGGACACAAGGGACACTGAAGCCGTCTGTGACGTATGAGAGGTGCACACGCATACACACAAATACAGACACTTCTCTTTTCTTGGTCCAGACCTGTGCTGCTCAGGTGTATGGCAAAACACCCATAAACATAAATAGAAGTACAACACAAACAATTTTATGCTTAAATCATTGTTTTTATGTTTTCTAAAATATAAAAGCTTCTATGCCAATGCTCTAACCCAGACATCTCTACACACATTACAGCAAAACACAAAATCTTATCTTTTTTTTTTTTTTATTTCCAAGCACTTTACTATCCATCTCCATGCCTCCTTATCAAACTCTCTCTGGGACATAGCCCTCATGCATTAGAATGCAAGCGTGCATGAAAAGAGGGCCTGTTTACAAGGCTATTTCACTAAGCGGTGGGACCCGCAACACAGTTTAGCTTTATCAAACGCCGCCTAATAAATCATATACTCTTTTGTGATGTCAGCTGCTGAAGTGCTTTGTGTAAAGAGGAAAAACAACATGAACAAGGCAAAAAGGGAGGGAGGGAGGGGGGGAAAGGGGAAAGATTGAGTGAGTGAGGAAAGGAGGGAGGATGAGAGTGAGTGAGCGAGCAGGGGGCAGGGAGCTAGAATTGGCATGTGTAATTCAGCACAGTCTTTTCATCTTAGAGTAAAATACTCTAGACAGATAAGGGCCCTAATCCTTCTCCTGATCAAAAAAAATCTGCATTTTACCAATTAAAGGCCTGTGCCAGAAGCCAGAGAGGGGGGCTGCCTTCAGACGGCGCCCACATTTATCTCCCTTTAACACAGAGGAGGCGCACAGCAACTGCCTCAACCAGCTAGCTCCCCATCCAAAAACAAGGACACCATAGCGCCACCTATGCAGCCGGCCTGGAACAGAACGGTAGTCCGTGGAGGGTGGAAGATGCCTGATGAGCTGTGAGAACTCACACATACAGACCACCAACACACACACCACACAAAGTCTTCAATATGCTGGAATAACAGTTACTTACAGGGCAACACTGACTAGACAGAACCTGAATTCTCCACATCACAAGGCGGAGAACATTCAGCCGTTGTAGTGTACAAGCACACAAAAATCACACAATCATGTCGTAAAGGCAGTCAAAGACCATCCCTAAGATGAATAATCTTTTAATGGATAGTCACAGGAAAGTCCTTTTTTACAAACAAGCTGAAAAATAAACTGTTAATACATCTAGCAAATCTTGGTGATGAAAAAGCAATATGCTTTATTCTACTTCAAATTCGATTAACCTTCATAACACCAGAGAAGATGATCCAACGTCTCTACTGCCACTTTTTACTAAGAATAAGCGTTTCCATGTAGTGGAAAATGTAGCTTACATTAATTGTTTCTTCATGTGAATATGCAGTTTTCTTATAGATTTCTCCATGGTGAACTGTCAGCAAAAGATTAATGAGAAAATAATAAAAAGATTTTTGAGCAAGGCCATATTAGGAAGTTATGGGAATGTGGAGCTGGCATCTCCAGAGACAAACCCGAGGGAAGAAAAAGTCCACTTCAAGAGAGACATTAAAGAAGCCACCAGGCCTTATCTTTAGAAGTACTCCCTCCGAGGGGAAAGAGGGGAGGGAGAGAAAATGAAAGAGAAAAATAGAGAGGGAGAGACTTATGCACAAAAATGGGTACGCTAAAGAAAGTGGAGAGAGGTATAGAGAGTTGAAATAATAATAAATGAAATAAATACAGCAAACTGAAATTGACACCCGCCTCGCTTTTGCTGACTGGGTAGGCCAGATAAGTGAGCTAAATTGCGTAGATTTGATGTTTATCTTATCGGCTGCACCAAGAGCGCTTAAATGCAGATGATGAAGGAACACCGTGGCGTGTCATGGTGAGAGCATGTTTGAGAGTGTAAAAATATACATCAAGAGTGCACCAGGAGCGCTTTTGAACAAGGTGGAAAGCGATGAGGGTGGTGTGAAAATTAGGCCAACCACAAAGAAAAAGAATATTTGAATCAGTGCAGCCATTACTTTTAATACTTCAAAAAGCCACTTATTTCAGGACAGATTGTCAACACTGAGGACGAACTGTTGAAAGGCTACCACCTACCATTGCTGAATATAAACTTGGTACAAAAGCTAGTGGTTCAGTTTGTTAGCACTGAAGAGAGAGTATTTTTCCCAATGCATTTTTCCCTCAAAGCCATTTCAGAAGAAGTACAGGGGGAAGGAATGCTCCGTCGTTTGGCTATATGGAACCCCCCACCCCCACCCCAAAACTCCTCCCAGTGTGTGATGAGAGCCACTGTGGTCCAAATACTGTACTTATCCCTTTACTGAGGGGGGTGCAGAGAGATAAGAGCATTTTCCCCTTCACTCTGCTGAATTAGAGGGCAGGGATTCTGTTTGCGAATACTTTTATTGGCATCACTGTGCGCTGCTGCATGTGCATAGAAGGTGAGAAACAAAATGCAATATCTGAAAGTCAAATGCCAAAAACAATTTCAAGACAGAACAATGGAAAACTAATAAGGATTCTGTTGGTGTCTGTCTACAAGGATAATACGTGCAGCTTGGCAAGTTTAGGTTGGATATGTGGAGGAATGAGAGGACGCTGCTTTGTTCAGATGGCCACCTGGTATGACTACAGTAGAGGGAAGGTGTCAGCAAGCCTTCCCTCTATTAAGAAGGCATCCTCCCCTCCTCACTTAGCACCTGAACTCATCCTGCTCCCTGAAACGGGCAAGAAGTTGTCAAGATCTTCAACCTTTGAGCTGAGCCCTTCAAACACGGGAGGCAGTCCATTCTGCGCTGAGGATATCAATTATAGATAGGGGTTACCACCGCAGCGGAGGATTGCAATGTCAAGGCAACAAATAGACAGCTGTGGAGAGCTGAGGATCTTTCTATCAGATGTGTGGTGATGTGGGGTTCACATGTGTGAGTGTGCATGTGTACACTCCACCATCCCTTGTTCACAGCACCAGTGGTGTATTTTCACCACTTCCCCAACTTCGGTCTGCTCCCTCTACAAAATTCACAGGCCGTGAGAGAGCAGCAGAGCTAATAGTGTAAGTAGCCAGAGCGGGGGTGACACAGCCATAATGTCATTAATATTTAGCTGAACAGTGACCCCTCGGGCGCAATGCGATGAAAGCCATCCATCACCCGGGCTGTGTGAGAGTTCTGATAACAGACAGGAGGAGGCCTGGTCCAGTGGAGTACACTAAGCCGACTTCCTCACTCTGGGAAGCTTAACCCACCGAATCAGTTAGCACTAGAGATGTGCTCTCCAGCTTTGCAGCCATTACCACTGTCCCTGGATCCAATCAGGAATCCAGCAGCAGTATCAGTCAATGGCTGCAGCTCTGATTCCACTGTAAACTACTTCTGCACAGACACGCAGGCAGGGGAGGCACTTAGAACAGAACAGCTGCAGTTGATGCTGTTGGGATCGACTGAGGAGGCTCTCAGAGAATACAAATGAAAAGACATTGTAGTTTTCGTGTGTCTTTTCCAAGCTGCAACAAGACACTGTTTATTGTAAGACTCTACTCATCTTACGGTCGACGTGCAGTTGCATCCCCCTGTGTCTCTACAAGAAATAAGGGGTCAGGTGTGAACACTTCCCTGCACTGGAAGGGCTGGTTCAGAGACTCAACAAAATGAAATGGTTTGCCTTCTTGTCGCTCTCTCTGAATGGTTCAAACTCTTAAAAATGAACATCCTCCACACATTTTACTAACAGACCATTACAGGATATATCTGGATTTTGAAACTTCTCAGTTGCTGTCTGGAGCTGCCAATATTCTAAAATACTTGGCGCAGCTTTACATACACAATCAAATGGTCTCTGCTTGAGCTCAACTTAAAATAAGCAGCTTGTGTTACAGTTTTTTGAATTTAACTCTGTGTATGTGTGTGTGTGTGTGTGTGTGTGTGTGTGTGTGTGTGTGTGTGTGTGTGTGACTCACCTGTACAAGCTGCTCCTGTGTGTCAAACTCACGGCAGCAGTTCTCCCAGTGGCAGTTTGTCTCATAAACCACCTCTGGCTCCTGTTTGCTTTCATCTTTGTCGCCTTCTTCCTTCACCAGGGTCATTCCATCAGGATGGTCCTAAAAAGTAAAAAGGTTCCAGTACAGCATGCAAAAAACAAGCAATGTCATGAAAATAATGTAAATAAATGAAACAAAACCAAGGCTGTAAGAGCTAAAGTGACTTCCTTCCTCTCCCCAGCATCAGTCCATCCAAATCTGTCATAAGTCATTTTTTGCCAGGCGGCTGGTTTACATGAACGGTGCAGCCAGAAGAGAACCTGCCCTTGTTTGACTGCATGGGAGAAAAGTCTGCAGAACAGAAATGTAGTGCTGAAAGTCCCACTCTGTATTTGGAGGTCATTATACAACAGGTCCAGGGCGGGTATTTGAGGAATCTAACCCCCTTTTCCTGCTATAGGTTGCTCTATTAGCCCAGACATATTTCACTGTCACAGTTAGGTCACTGAGTCGAGCAGAGAGTCGGTGCGGGCTAATACAGGAGAGCCTGCAGCTCCCACCACACGCCTGAGACTACATTTGCAGCTGAAAATCGACTCTAATAAGGCCGGTTACCAGCTGTTATATGGACTTCAATTTCTAGCAATGCTGCAAAAATCTACAGTTAAAAACAGACTGATGAGTTTCAGGATTACCTGCCAAGGCAAGTTTATTTATATAGCACATTTTCATACACAAAGGCACCTCAAAGTGCTTCAGTGGTTTTGAGGTATCTGTACTTTACTTGAGTATTTTCATTTTCTGCTACTGCATACTTTAGAGGCAATTATTGTACTTTTTACCCCACTACAATTATTTGATAGCGTTAGTTACTTTTCACAATCAGATTAACTAAATAAAAATACAATCATCTGACTTTGTTTATCCCTGGATGGAAATTCTCAAAATATCCAGCAGTAATTATAAGCATATGAAGTATTTAAAATGAGCTACATCTTTTCTAAGTACAGCATTAAATGTGATGTTCACGATAATGCATCAGTAATTATAATCCACAATATGACCTACATTAATAATAAAATGTGCTATTTTGCATTATGAGCACTTTTACTTATGGTTCTTTGGGTATATTTTGATGCCAGTGTGTTTGTACTTTTACTTAAGCATCTTTTTTAATGCAGGACTTTTATTTGTATTTGTTAGAGTATTTTAAACACTGTGGTAGTGCTACGTTTAGTTAAGTAAACAATTTGACTACTTCTTTCATCACTGCTTAACACAATCCACACAAATACAGTAGATAAAACATTAAAATGCAAATTAAAAGCAACAATTACATGACAGCACAAAGTAGCAAGTGTAGATACCTAGTACTTTTAGGTCAGCTGTGGCAGACTGTGGATTCTCACTGTTTTCATTAAACTTTGCACCCTGTCGACGGGTGTACTTTCTTCTGGAAATCTGAAACACCAGTGTCTGTGCAGTTTTAAACGGTCCCAAAAACCTTTACCACAGCTGTGAATACTCGCTCTTCTCTGCTGAGGCCATACTGCAACCAATTTGCAATATGATACTATTTGCCATAATGAAGACAGTTTTCCCTGATAACTGAAAAATGTCTATGTTGCCAGGAACTGAAAATACATTTTGATAGTGCTGATGAATGTAGACAGTCCTCACCTGTACGCTTACTGCGCCTGGGCTCGGCAACTCCTCCTCCGGTTTCATTTTCGACCGTTTGTGGTGCATGGGGTCTCCTGTGCTGCTCACAGCAGATTCACTCGTTGGTTTGGTCTGAGGAAACAGAAAATAACAACTTAGTGGATAGATTTGATCGCTTTCTGCTTTCAGTTGCATCATGCTGACTATATTTTTCTTTTTATCGCTGATATTTCTTATTTGATTCTGTTATTAAAAATGCATGTGATGCTTACAAATCAACCGATCATTTAATCAAATCAGACAAAAACAATTGTGGTTGGACCATAATGTTTCTCTCGTCATCTATCCCAGGCAAAAGCTTTAAATGTGCTAATGAAAAGCTATGCAATTCAGTGTATCACATTTGCTAATGAGTGCAATTAAGACAAACTCATGAACCAATTCAGTAAACCATTCACTGAACCAATGGATGACCTGATTTTGGCCCTGGTTTAAATTTGCCCTTGGGGGAAAGTCTTACATACCGAACTTGCCGGAGTAAAATAATTAACAATTTGATGTTAATCTTCTGAAAAATAGTTTTTTTTTTTTGATTTTCTGTTCTTCATGAACATGCTTACTTTCATAATGTTTATAGTTTTTCACCCTTAGAATTGTTGTGATCCTGTCAGTCTCTGCAGCATGTCGCACATTTGCCCCACTATCTTTGCTAAAAGATGGGAGGTTCAGCTGTGGCCCCAAAGCAATATTCTCTTTATTCAGGAGGAGGAAAAGGCAATTTTGTTGTGCACACTTTGAATGTGGTCTCACTCACAATAACACAAAAAATCAAGTGATGAGAAACAGCAGGGAAGACTGGTAATAAATACTGAATGTTTACTTCAAATGCGGGGCCCGCACATACAGTAAGGGTTGAGGAAGGAGAGAAAAAGTCCCTTTGGATCCATCCATCCATGTCAATATTCCGTCTCTATATCCTTGTTCCCTCTCTAGTGATTAATGGAGTCAGCAGTGGGATTCTATGCTAACAAGCCCCTTGTTGTTTGCTGCAGGCACGTTCTGGGTCTAAAAACAAGACAACACAAGTAGGAGGAAAGTCCCAGGAGAGGAGTTTGTGGAGGGGGATCCTGCCTGTGCCATGTTAGCTCACTGCATTTCGCCAAGATGTGGCTGGCATGCAACTGCGCTATCTATTACCTGTGATGATGAATCGCACAGGCGCCTGCCTCTGCTCTCACCTGCGAGGAGTCGTTGGAGACAGTTGAGCGCTCAGTGGTGCTGAGCCCAGAGGGGGGGATGTTGGGTATGGGTCTCTGGGTGGCAAAGGCCGGCGTTGGGTGAATGAGGGGCGGGCTGTGGCCAAAGGCGGAGCCCATGATGCCTGGTTGACGACCAATCAGCTGCTGGTGCACATGCAAAGCCACTGGGGTGGGAGGGTAGGCGAAGCTTAATGCTGGGCTGGTGCAGAGCAGAAGGGAAAGGTTAGTTACACTGGGTAAAATTATCCTAAAACTAAAGTTCACTATCAGTTACAAAGGCAATGAGGCAAAACAGGGGAATAACAATGAACAAATGGATTGTTCTGGATAGCTCCTCATCCCCGAGGACAATCTGACAGGAGCTGCTGTGGTAATGCTGGAACCACGAAGCTGCCGGCGAATGAATGTTCAGCTTGTTAACACAGTGAATTATCATGGTGGTGGTGTGCATAAGGCTGTATGTCATTCTTCCAGTGGGCAAAAGATAGAGATGATAAACAATCTGGAGTGTGTTGTACAGCCTTATAAATCAGGCAGAGGAATGTTCCTATTCCTGTAACAGAAGTAGGAGTTTATTTACTATCAACCTGAGTCAACTTTTTTATCCTAAAAAAAAAAAAATCCCACAAGCTTCCTCTGGGCTGTGTATAACCACAGGTGAACCACCAGACAAACACAGATCTGTGTGGCTCGACAGCAGCGGCCTCCATTCATTCTCAGCTCTGGCGCTTCGCTCTCACTGTGACCATATGTCTGCTGACCTTATTACCAGCCCACTGGAAATCAATGGGCCGAGACATATTTGGGGGCCCATCTGCTTGTCATATCACTCATCAGCCTGTTGGCTCTGGCTATTTGGGCCCTGTCACAAGGACAGTGGCTGATTGCGCAGGGTGATTGATCAGGCTCTTTTTACAGATCGCTGATCAATAGCTATGGGTGGGGCAATGGATCTTTCCTGTTCCCTTCTCTCTTCTTTTATTTTGCTTCCTTTGATCGCCTCCTGTACTGGGGCGTGATGTATGTGATGTTTCCATGAGGTGTGCTGGATGACTGACACAAGCCGCCGGGGAGGCAGGCTGACTCGGCTGGCTGGGAGATCATCACCCACATGAGGGGTTGACACGTACAACACCCACACATACACTGCACAGTTCTTTACCTTTTTTCTGACAGAATATTCAGTTCTTATCCAGAATGCAATGTGACTACACCATGGTGATATTACAGTGGCGTATACTGTATTAAAATTACCAATCAACGCTTTTTGAAAATGTTTACAACATCACTCCCCAGAGGAGGATCCTGTTGTTTAATGAGCTGTTGGTCCCTGAATGACCACCTTGAAAGAAACAGTCAGTCAAAGCTCCTGAAAGATATCCACATGGGATAGGTGTGTTAAAAGCACTTCGATGAAACAGGGGACTCGAAATCAAAGCAACATAGGCTGAAACATCCACTTCCTATTATGGCCCCAGCTCCAGAAACACTACTGTGTAAATGTAACTTCATAGCCTTTTTCATTAGATTCATTCTTTTTTTCTTTTTTTCCATGAACAAAACAAGAACATATATAAGGCTCTGGGAGTATAACCACACATTTTTTCATTCATACCTTCCAGCATATATGCATATATAATATATGTCAAATCAAATCAAATCAAATCAAATTTTATTTGTATAGCGCCAAATCACAACAAAGGTCATCTCAGGACACTTTACAAAGTAAGGTCTAGACCTTACTGTTATCAATATTATTACATAGGGAAAACCCAACAAATCCCCCTTGAGCAAGCACTTGGCGACAGTGGGGAGGAAAAACTCCCTTTAACGGAAGAAACCTCCGACAGACCCCGGCTCTTGGTGGGCGGCCTTCTGCCTCGACCGGTTGGGGTGAGTGGATAGAGGAGAGACAAAAGAAGAAAAGCAACAAGACACAACAATC